TTCTTCTCTACAACCATGGTTCCCTTTATAAAACAGGAGTGAATTACTCTTAATCCTTTCTTCTGTCTCTACATCTCTTTCATCCACAATTTTTACAGGTATATTTCCTTTTGGGTGTCTACAGTATCTCTGTAATAGTTTATTGATTGCCTTTAATCATTGTTTATCTGTATTTCAGTGAGAAAATGTTTTTTTTTAGGAATTTGTTAAATATGAATTAGTGGAGCTATTGATCAAAAAGACTACCCAGAAGCTACAACCAGTCCAAAATGTAATTGCGTGTGCATCGATAGGTGCCCCAAGATTTATCCATATAACTCCTCTATTGTATGAGCCGCACTGGCTCCCTGTTTCTTTCTGATTGCAATTCAAGGTACTGGTTATTATCTTTAAAACTGTATATAGAACAAGGCCAGATTATCTGCCGGACTGCCTCTCTCTAAAGCAGGGGTTCTCAACCTTGGCAACTTTAAGACTTGTGGACTTCAGTTCCCAGAATTCCTCAGCCAGCTTTGTGGGAGTTCAAATCCACAAGTCTTAAAGTTGCCAAGGTTGAGAACCCCTTCTCTAAAGACATCTATCTACTCATCTTGCCAAATCAGATAGGGTGGAGATGGTCCTAGTCCCTTCCCTTAAACATTGCCATCTGGTGGGAGCTAGAGAATATGCCTCTTCTGTGGCAGCCCCTGCTCTGTGGAAGACCCTTCCTCTTGAAAGTCAGCAGGTCTCCACCCACCCAGCCTTCCAAAAATCACTTAGGATCTGGTTTTCCTCCCCATATCCTGGGATAGGCTGAGATGGATAAGAGGATTTAACAAGGGTGTTGGAAGCTTAACCTTGGTGCCAGGCTTTTTAAGGTTTATGGTTTTAATAGTTATTATGCTATTTTTATTGATGTTATTTTAATAGTTTAAAATTGGGAGCCATCCAGAGTTTTGTATAAGTTGGGTGACTATATAATTTTTTTAAATAAATCAATCAATGAATAACATTACTTACAGGGATGGCCAGTGTGGTGCCCATTAGATTTCCTTCCACACTTGATTTTATATGTTATAAAGTAAAGCAACATTTGCCTCTAGCATTATTTTAATTTTCAAGAATGCCTCCGGTTCCCATATAGACCTAGAAGCATTTTGAGAAAATTGAATGGGATGAGTATCTCTACCCCATTATTTGCTTGAAAAAGTGTCATTGGGATCTTGATAAATGGGTATTTTGTAACTGGGCATACTCACTAATGCATGCACTGAGGACAGGCTAGAATTTCCGATGCTTGTCAAATTGTGACAGCATCCACAACACGCAGTTAAAATTCCAAATATTCCCTGCAGTTCAACCCTTTTCTTATGAATCACAAAGACAGCATGCTAGCCAGTGAAATAAATGGAAGAATCTGTAGTATCATTAAAACTATCAAAACTGGCATAAGGTTCTGGGAACTAAGGTATACTTAGTTAAACATAAAATATTATCCTCCGTTGACAGGTTGCAAAAGTACAATCTGTGATAGTGCAATTGCTGCTTAAACTTAAGCAAAATAAACACAGTGCCAACGTACCAGTAACCATTAATAATTTAGTAAATTTGCCTTTACTAAACAAATTAACACCTCTAATAGAACAGATAGCCATTTCTCTTTTCCAAACATACAGAATGAAACATATTAGTTCTTATTCCTTTAATTTAAACTGTGAAATTCCTATGTTGAAGAACAGTGAGAGGAGTAAATAAATGTAAAAGAATTTCTTTCATTGGCTCAGTTCTTTTTCTCTTTGGTTGAGATGTTCCTGCCAAATAAGATTCATTTACTTATATTATGCACTCTAAATCTCCAGCAGTGTGTTCAGGAATACATCAATCTGCAATAAGTTGAACTGTCAGCTTATCCTTGAAGCTCTATTTGACTGCTTTTAGACTAAGGAGAGCTGAGCAATCGGGAATGCTCCCTCCCAAATTGCTTCTGTTGGTCCTCAGGCTCAGCTGTTTTGGTTTGGTTTGGTTTGGTTTGCATTTGCATCTGAGATCAGCATTAAAATTTAATGTTGTTAGTTGCATAAGAGATATGCAAATGCTTTTGACAAAGAAGCTCTCCTATTCCTTTGAACTTGTGGTCAGTTTTCTTCTTTCACCAAAAGTTGTGCTTAGTTGAAGATGAAACATACATCCCTGTCTTCTTTAGATTAAGTGTTAGAAAGTTAAGGCTGTTTACAAGAAGTCATGAGATTAAGAGACGGTAAAGGCCTTTTAGAGTTCTTTACTTGAAAGCATTTTTATTTCATAACGGCAAATAGTAGAATTTCCAAATCCACATTTGCTTGTTCCTCTGGTTTTCCTTCCTTCAGAACTTACACAAACAAACAGAATGAACAAACTTTGTTAGCATTAGCCATCTTAAATCTGAACACTTTTCCATTGATCCAATGATTACTATCAGGGATCATCAGGGCTTTTTTTGTCATAGAACGCCCAGAACGGAGTTCCGGCACCTTTGGATGGAACCTTGTAGGGTAGGCAAGGCGGGTTGTATGACATGGGTGAGTTCCAGCAACTTTTTTTTTTTTTTACAAAAAAGCACAATACGTGTGTAAGATAGATGAAAATATTCCTTCTGAGGAGGATTAATGGGACTGTCTAAATCAGTGATGGCGAACCTTTTAGAGACCGAGTGCCCAAAAACTGGCCCTGCCCCGCTCCTGCTCCGCCCTCCCATCCCCCACCCCACCTGCCCGCAGGGCCACTCACTTCCTCCAGGGCCTGGCGCAGATTGCCCAGGCAGCCCAGCAGCACTATGGCAGTCACGCCCTCTGTCCACGCCCTGCAGCATCAACTGTGCACAATGGGATGTGAGGGCAGAGTCTTGTCTACGCTGCCTGGCTGCCATGTCCTTGGCTGCGCTGCTTTGCATGGGCCACGCTCAGGGGCGACTCTCCTTCAGGGGGGCTGCTAGAGAGGAGGGGGTCACGGGGGAGGCGAGGCTGGGGCAATGGCATATGTGCCCACAGAGAGGCCTCCTAGGGCCGCCTCTGGCACCAGTGCCGTAGGTTGGTCACCACTGGTCTAAATGGACTGAATTGCACCAGGTGCTTAAAATTCTATGCATGTTGAAACACATTACAATCTGATTTCTGGCATCAACCATCCAACCAGCAGTTTCTAAGAGGCTGTGTTCCCTGCCTCTAAGGAATAAATTTGTGGAAATATAAAACCAATTGGTCACTATCTAATACAGGGGTCTCCAAACATGGCCCTTTTATGACTTGTGGACTTCAACTCCCAGAATTCCTCAGCCAGTGTGCCTGGCTGAGGAATTCTGGGAATTGAAGTCCACAAGTTATAAAAGGGCCAAGTTTGAAGACCCCTGAGCTAATAGCTAGAGAAGTTACTGTATTGTATTCAGATACTTCCCTCTTCCTCCCCATTCCTTCATACTGGGTTTATTGGTTGTAAGACTGGAAGTAGATTTTCTCTTCTGCTGATAATCATATCCAATAATTATATTCTACATGATTATGTGATATCATATGTATCTATGACTATGTGTAAAAAGACACAATCATGGTTATGCCACAGTTACTGAGAGTAATAAGGCTTGCACATGCTGTACTGTGGAACTGTGAAATAATGAGTCATCATCTCCCACATATCTCGAGAGAAAACATTTGGAGCAGAGCAGTGACACTATTTCAGTTATATGCTTACTAGAAGGCAGTGGTAAAATGTGATTACTGTGAGCTGAAATCATTACATAGAGACTGAAAACTAATTGTGGAAACTCCCGGCAAAGTGCCAAATTAGGTTTCGTAGATAGAATACTTAGTGTTTTAGAGCAATTGTCTTTTGAGTACCCTGTATTCCATATGTCTTGCTTTGTGACTATATTGCATTTCTATACCAACAACTGTATTTCTCTAGGTAACTTTTAGCTCCAACTCAAGCAGATGAAACCATTCGAACCAATCAGAATGACTAAATGATTTTAAAACAATTAATTGGACCAACTTTCTCTAATTGACTCTGCCCATCCTACTGATCTAGCAAGGGCATGCTCTGAGTACTGCTATATTTATGGCATTTTCCTGATCTACTTAGCTAGTATCTCTATCAAAGGAGATGATGGGTTGTAGTTAACTGACCCTTAGTCACCACTCAGCAGGACTATTGTAACATGCTATGTGTAGGTCTATCCTTTACAAAGCATGGTGATTAAAATGTTGGTAGGCCAATCACATCAGTGCAGAATAACATCTAACAATAATAGGGAACAGTGGTATCTTGATACACAATTTCGTGGAAACTCATCAAATTGGTATCCAATGCATTTTGACACATCAACATACAAGCTAGAACTTGTTGGTGTCAGTACCTTGTGACTCACTATATTATTCTTTATGCGAAAAATTTGTTTGGTATTCATTGTTTTTGGTGCTCATTACACCTCCCAGAGCGAATTAACAATGAGTACCAATGTACCACTGTATTTCTAGGCCTGAGTCAAACTGCTTTTCTTTACCTATAAAAACCTACACAGCATAGCACAGTTTAAACAAGCAGTGTCAGAATAGAGTTTGTCCATTTGCTTTGGTCCTTGTGAAAAGGCCAGCACACTGACCTTTTAAGACCCATGGGATATAGACAAGATGAGTAGCAGTTTCCCTTTTATGGAGTTCAAAACAATCTCACTCTCTCATGCCCTTGGCTCAAGCTAATTATGGTTTAATAAAAATGTGTTGTATTTGGGGAATTGTTTTATTTGGATTTTTATATAATTTTAGGTTTTTGTTTTGCAATCCTTCAGGATTAGGGCAAGCTAGATATTCTATAAGTTGGTAGATAGGTAAGATATGATGGTCAGCACAGAGAGAGACTGATAACAAATGAAGCCAAGTGAATTTAATGTTATTTCAATCTTTAAATGTATGACTGCTAAGGTTTTATCTTAATAAAAGTCAGCCTCTTGATTTGCAAGACTAACATACTATTTGTGTTTTATTTGCTAGATAGAAGATATCATAACAAGAATGCAGGATGACAAAACAGGTGGAGTGCCCATTCGCACGGTCAAGAGCTTTCTGTCGAAAATCCCTAGTGTTGTCACAGGTATGAACATAATTGAAAGGTAACATGTTGTTTATCTCCACCTTATTAAGATTGTAGTGTGTGCTCACACGGTGAAGGAAATTCAAAACCTTCATCAGTGGTTCTCTCCAACATGTGCCTAAATCATTATATCCCCTCTAATTCTAGTTTTAATGCTGATGCCTCAAGGCCAGAAGTAAATGGTTCCACTCATCAGAATGAACAGGAGGATTATTAAGCACAGGAGCCTAGTTTAACTCATTTTAAAAGAAGTATCTAAAAAACTGTGACCCTACAGAAAGGTCAGTGAATATGACTAAAATATCCAACTTCATTAATAAGCACATATTCTTTCAATGGCTGGCCTCTGAGCAAAACTTCAAGGAAACTGGCACAGGTAATTTGGGAGGTAGAAAACACCTTCCAGGTAACTTTGAGGTAATGGACAAAATGTTTCAAATGAAAAATATTTTCAGCATAAAACAGCTTTTTCCCACCTTCCCAGAAGTGTTAGAATGCTGTTCCAAAAAGCTTTTGAAATAGTCAGAACAGCATTGAAGTGGTTTTAGTCAGGTTAAGAAAGCTATTTCCTACTCAAAATAGTATGTTTCAAAGTCAAAACCTTTGTACCCCATTGACAAGGAGGGCTGGGAACCAGGGAAGCTAAGATAGTTCCTAAGTAGAGTAATTTTTGCTTCAGCAGTTGTGGGCTGCCATTGGCACAATTTTCTTCAACTTCACCAACAATCAGAATCACTTGTTTTGTCCCCCTCCCCCAGCAGTGCAGATTTGAGCTAATTATGTTGTCAACATAGTTTTGGAAGTGAAATGGGAAAAATGTTGAAGGTAGTGAGGGAAAACGACGAGTGAGGAAAGAGTTAAGAATTTTCCCCCATTAGATTCATTGGCAATCTTGCCCTCCCATTTCAATTTTGCGAAGTAAAATCGGTGAAAGATTGGAAAGCATGAAGATGGTGGATATGGAAACTGTAGCTTTGTCCCAAATAAGCATGGCTACCAAGTTTCAGAGAATCGAAGACCCTGTCCTTTGCTCTGTTTGAGCACCTGTCTTGGAAGTTGTTTTCTCTGATTTCATTTGGTGGCTTCCAGACACATCCTTTCCATTAGCACAAGAGCTGATGAGAGAATGAAAAATCTCAAGAAGTTGCCAAAATTGTAGCATCGTGTTGCTGAAAGTGTCAAAGAAGGTGATCTCAGGCAGATCCATTCCAGGGCAAGAGGGAGCTCTGGGCAAGAACACAGGTTCCCGTATGGAAAGGAAAGGAAGGCAAAATGCAGTCACCCATGAATCAAGGCAGAGCACAGAAGGTAGGAAAAGTTTTTGTAATTTTACAAAGATTCATATTTCATGCAGAACACTACATAGCTCCTTATCTACAGATACAGAAAAAGAGGATCTGGTGTAAACGCTAGGGAGGAAAAATCAAACTAAATTGAGTTGGGTACCTTTGCTGATAGCATTTTTTTTTCTGGAGGCAAAGACTTTAATGGCTGTCAGAAAGTGGGAATGGGTAAGAACAAGTCAGCTAATATTCTGTATATTGCTATACAAGCTTAGTATGAAGTATATTTAGAAGAGTTTTAGTGAATGTGTGTTTGTGTATGTGTGTATACTATGTGTGCAGTGTGTGCAAACAAAAATTTCCTTCTCACTCCCTTTGGGTGGTATGTGTCCTCAATCTTTGGGAGTTTGAGGTTCTGCAAAGTATCACAGCTGTTCCTAGTACGGCACTCTTCTGGACAGAAAGCTTTGATGTTGTCCTGAGATCTGGTGGAGCCATTTTCCCAGCTTTTTTTTTTATAAAAGTTTTTATTTTCAATTTTACAATACATTACAATCTTAAAAATACTTCAGATAAAAAATAAAACAAATTGATACATACCACTTTCGGTATTGCCCACCCATTTCCCCCCAAACCGCATCCACCCTCTAACCAACTTACCTCTTTCCCTCTTCTTCCTCACTCACCCCCTCTCCTCCTTCTCCTCAACCTTCCTACTTACTTCTCACCTTCTTCTTCTCCCTCCGGATGCGGTCCAGGGGAAATGCCCGAGCAATTCCTTTCTCCAAATTGAAACATTAATATTATATACGGTAAAACTATTTCTACTTTATCTGAACTACTTAAACTTCAACCCATCCACCCCCCTCTCCCCAACCCCCTCCCCCCGACTTCCCAGAGCAAAATGCAGGATTATGCAAACATATTAAACATAATCTATTTAAGTTTACTAATTATACAATGAACAAAATCATACTAACCCTTAACTCTCTTCAAACTTTAACATCATAAATTTATAAACAAATTCATTACTCATAAAATAAATGAAACTTTGTAGTTCCATACTTCTTCTGAACATATTCTATCCATCTTCTCCATACATTAAAATATCTCTCCTGTGAATGGTCCTTTAAATAAGCAGAAATTTTAGCCATTTCTGCTAAATTAGAAACCTTAAATACCCATTCTTCTAAAGAAGGCAGAGTATCCTTCTTCCAATATTGACCCACCAGTAATCTTGCTGCTGTTATTAAATTCAATATTAAAATAGTTTCTCCATTTTCCCAGCTTAAGTGTCACAAGTGCACCTACCACAACTGAGACTACTTTAGCCTTTACTTTCCACATCTTCTCTAGTTCCTCCTTCAGACTCCGGTACTTCTCTAGCTTTTCATATTCCTTTTCCTGATGTTGCTGTCATTTGGCAGCACTATCTCAATCACCACCATTGTCCTCTGGTCCTTGTCTACTGCCACAATATCTGGTTGATTGGCCAGTAGTAGCCTTTCTAGCCCATGTTCAGAGGTACATAATGCCAGCTATGTGGTTGTGCCATTCATTGTATATTGTTCCTGCCTCTATCATACACCTTACCACTATGTGTTGGGCCGTCTCTGAGGCCTCTCTGCACACTCTGCACCTCTGGTCCTGGGTCATGTGGTAGATCCTCGTTCCTATGGATCTGGTGTTAATGACTGCTCTTGTGCTGCTATGATCCTCAGTGCTATCTTTTAGTCCAGTTGCCTTGTGAAAAAGCATCTTTGAGATAACAGCATTTCTCCTTAACACACACTTGCCCAGTGTTCCAGTTCTGAATCATTGGTATCTGCTCTCCACTATTTACAGTCCAGAACTGCATTTTCCATTTTGCTGGCTGTTTTGCCGATTCCTTCCTTGGCTTCAGCTGCCACAGTCCCTGGCTGTAGATCCTCTGGCTTCTGGGTATCTCAGCCCACACCTCCACTGTTCCACATTTCTTCTAATTGCTTCTCATTCCAGCAGCTTCTCCAGCCAAACATAGGAAAAAATTCCTCTTTTTTTGAAAAAATTACATGCCAATTCTAAAGAGCTTAAACTGGTTTCCATTTTTCTCTGCAACTGCCTACGTGGCCAAACTGTACCTTTGACAGATGACTATAGAAAAAGAAATCAACCTTGACAATTGCATGTAGCATTATTTTAGGGCAGTTCATCCTTCTGCAGGGGCAAGGAGGGATCATACTATATTGGGGCTTCTGGTTGGAAAGCTGGTGAGGTGAGCTGCCTTGGAACTAAATTCCTAGCAAAGCAGAATCATGGTTTATATTGAGGGCAATTACATGTTCCACTCTGGTGGAGTGGGAAGAATTGATTCTGAGTTGTGCCATTTATTTTTTGAGGATTCTAAAACCCACAGACATTGTCAACAGAAGAAACTGCTGCAGTTAGTTGAACTACCTGTTTTAATTTATGAAACACGTTTAATAAAATCAGAAATATCCCAAGAAACTTTTAAATTTGCAAATTCTACTTATGTTGTCTGTACTTTCAAGCATCCAAAGTTCTGGGACAAGCAGAAAATGCCTACAGTATATGAAGATAACCTATGCATAGGTTGGTCATACTATCTGAGATCTGTATTTGATATTTTACACAATATGATTTATCAAAGCAAAGTAGCACATAGAGTCATTACTTATTAAATTTGGCAGTGTACATAACGAATGAATTATGCAGATTAGATATATTTGCTTAAATGTGGCACATTGTTCCATGTTTATTTGTGGCCTCACTTATTCCCTTTGTGTTGTCAAATTAGGCTGTGCAGACCAATGACTCACTGAGTGCTTCCCAAAAGCTAAAATAACAGCAACACAATCATTTTTGCATTCACTGAAGCTGCAGAACTCATAACTTTTGTTATTTTGTGGCCCAGCCATTCATGCAAGCACTTTATGTTGTGCTTATCAGTATCACTAACAATAAAGATCCCTAATTCTGTTATAACTATAGTCCTTAAAAGTGAACAAAAATATAGGTTGGCCTGTTCCAGTTTAGTGTTCTTCAGATATGATACTAACATTACTCCTTGCTGTATTGCCTAACTTGGAATGTTTTATGCTGCTGGTTGGGAATGATTGGAATTGTAGTCCAACTCCTTTGAAGGTCAGTTTGTTTGAAAAGGCACAAAAAACATGATAATGTAATTTCACTGCTCTCAAGAAGTAATATCTGAAAATGTGCAGGTCAAAATGAAATATTCTTCATTCTGCAAAGGACATCTCAAGATAATTACGTATATTTAGCCCCATCCCCCCAAAAGAGAGAGGGCTGATTTTTTTTTCTTAATAGCTAGTCAGCACCATTTCTTAAGAGAAAATAAGAAAGACAATAAGGTAATGATAAGTCCTGAACTGATTGTCTTGTCTTTATCTTGTCTTGTCTTTATAGAGAATTTAGCTGTCTGAAAACTGAGCTGTTGCATTCATCAAAATAGTATTGGAATAGGACCCTTTTTAGCCAATAATTTGCGCCATCTGAATTCTCTAGAATGTAGATTGTCCCTTGTTTATAATAAGAACAATTTACAAATTACTGATTTAATCAGTGCTGACAGCCAACTTAATCAAATTTGGTTAGCAATACATTTTCCAGCAGTAGCTATGTAGTTATCTGCTGCAAACCTCCTACTTTTGGATGTATTGCATTGAGAAGCTCTGCTTTTTTCAGCTGTACATG